GATACCAAAATAAAAATAATAATAAAATAAAATAAATAATTCATTACAAAGTCTTTTTCAAGCTCACTCTGTGCAAAAAAACTAAGTAACATCCAAATTAAACCTGTAGTGGGTCAACAGATCACAGGGACCAGCTGAATTTGTTGGCCCAAAATTTGTAAGGAGAATTTAAGATGTCAGGTGGTTGTTCACAGGGCCGAAAAGTGTAGATGGAATGTTTGATTTCTGCAGAGGAGTGGAGACTAACAAAACTGCTATTTTCCCTAAATATCCCTTTTTCTTGGAAAATAATTTATGTAAGTGTTTATTTCTATCATAGATTGGTAATTTGAATTTCTAGTCAACTTTTTTTGGGTGATTCAGTTTATTTAGTACAATGAAAAATTTTGTTGGGCTCTTTGGCCTTTTTTAATACAACTGAATGTTCAAAGTTGTTTTTTTACACATAGGTGACTCTTGTCTCTGCTGTTCCTGGGAAGGTGGTTTGTGAAATGAAGGTAGAAGAAGAGCATATCAATAAAATGGGCACTCTCCATGGTGGTCTGACAGCTACCTTAGTGGACAACATATCAACAATGGCACTGCTATGCACAGAAAGGGGAGCGGCTGGAGTCAGTGTCGATATGAGCATATCGTATGTATCCAAACTGTACCCCAAATAACATTTTTTAAATGTGATAACGCATTTCAAACAACTGAGTCAAACACATTTGTAACATAAATCATGAGGTAACCTAGCTGATCATCCTTAAGTACAACCACAGATTTGCTCTAAAATATTCCATAGCCTTAGATTTTAGAACTAAAGGAACTAATTTCTAAGTACAGACTAAATCAGTAGTAAAGGGAGAATGATCTCCACATTCAAAAAGCAAATCTTTAGCTTCTAATATGTATATTGGTGGTGAAAAAAAATCCTTAAAAGTGCCACTCGTACAAATGTCTTACGAGGGTTACACTGAGTACAGATTGATGAGAGGCTGGATAAAATTCAAAGCTGAAGAAACCTCCATATATATTGTCATCATCTTGTAGCGAGGTAAACACAAATGTGCACTTTGCAGTCTTGCATCTATACATGTGCAGTTTTGCAGTCCTGCATCTCTCCCTGCAGTTGCATACACATGCTCTGTAGATCTAAACTATGACCAGGGAGCTGTACACCAGATGTCAGGCTGTCTCTCACTGTTGTGAAAATCCCTGCAGGGTCAAATGTTTCCAAATGTAAAAAATCCAATTCCAACATTAACTAGTGCTGTTGCTGGTCAGGAGTGCAGGACCCAGAGATTTAGTTTCAAGACAATTGCTTTTTCCACTTAAACACAGAAAAATGATTTTGGTGGAGGACAGTCAGGAGTTAGGGTGAGAAAGCTAATGTTAACATGACAATGGAAATAATGTCAGGTATCAGATTTGTCAAGAATATACTTTTTTATAAGGCTAACTTAAATAGAGGATGCAATAAGCAAATCACAGGACAAGATGCAAATGCTGTTTTGAAGATGTACAAAAAGAAAAGGTTCTGCTTATGGTATTGCTACGTATAGTCATTAGTCCGCATCTTGCAGTAGTCCATGTGATGAGGAGTAAGACCAACTGATGACTCTGCTTAGCCTTAAGAGCCTGTATTAAGAGCAGAGAGATATTCAAGCCTAGCAGCATTTCATGATCTTCTAAGCTACTGCTGGTTTTACTACCCTAAGGAATTTTTAATAAGTCAAACATAGTTTCAGCCTTTCAAAGTATGTGTTGCCGATAGTAATGGACAATGAACTGCCTGAGCTTCAGAAATTAATTCACTTGAACAGAAACTAGGACATAGATTTACTGAAGATATTTCAAAAGTAAGTGAATGACAATTTAAGATTACAAGTAGTTAGGAAGTGTCTCTTAAAGAGTCAATTTGGGGTTGAATAAATTCTAAATATTGATATGACAAGATACAGTGGTCCCCCCTTATCCACAGGGATATGTTCCAAGACCCTCGCCCCCTGTGAATGTCGCAAACCATGGATAGTACTGAATCCTGTATATACTGTTTTTTTTCTATATCTGCATACCTATGATAAAGTTTAACTCATAGAGATGAACAAGAATTAATGATAAAACATAGCAATTATAACAAACTATAATAAGTTACATGAATGTGGTCTCTCTCAAACATCTTGAACTATGCTCACTTTTCTTGTGATGATGTGAGATAAAATGCCTTCATGGTAAGATGAGGTGAGGTCAATGACATTGACATTGTGAATATAATGTCAGGCTACTATTCACCTTCTGACAATACATCAGGAGAAGCATCTGCTTCAAGACCAGGCTGACCCCAGGTAACTGAAACCACAGAAGGCGAAATTATGGATAAGGTAGAATGCAAGTAATAATCTAAGAAGTTAAGCAGACAAAATTGAAAGCTAAAGAAAATCTTTCATCAGCCCCAAATATGAAGTTGGAAACTTAAGGGGGGGAGGGGGGAGGTAAAAACTCCTTTCCATAAGGTAACTTTTCCCATAAAGAAACTTATGTAAATAAGAAATGTGTAAGAAGGTACTTGGGCCAGGACCAGCCATTCAAATTCGATAGGACAGAAAGCTTGCCGATATTCTTAAAACTGTTTTTAGGAGTAACATAAGAAGGCTGTTAGAGATGCACACAGCTGTCCCTTTTAGGAAATTATTTGTTGTTAACTATATTTAAATTTGTTTCCTTTCAAGGTACATGTCACCTGCTAAACTAGGAGAAGATGTAATGATTACAGCACATGTTCTGAAGCAAGGAAAAACACTTGCATTCGCTTCTGTGGAACTGACAAACAAGGCCACAGGAGAATTAATAGCACAAGGCAAACACACAAAACACCTGGGAAACAGAACAGTAGCATGACCTTAAGAAACCCAACAATGACTACAAGTGTAAATTTGACTAAACAAATGTAATTTTCAAAATAAATCAGCACAACCAGAAGTATCTAAGAAACACTTTCCTTGGGACTGCGTTCGTGCTTTCCCCTGAAAAAAAAAAAAATTTTTCCTTGGAGAAAATGTCAGAGACCAAGTGGATATAGGATGGTGTTGCCTGTTTGGTTTTTTTTTTTTCATTTTAAGCCTCTTTAGTTTTAGTTTGTAATCATATTAATGATACTTGGATGAAAAAAATTCTGAGCTCAAAGTATTTTGAAAACTTAAGGCAAAGAAGCCAGTAGTGCCATTTTAAGACTACCTTAAAACTAAAGTCCAGTATTATACTATAAAGGAGAAATATTGTTAATCCTTAATAAATGTTAGGTCCTTCTCAGCTACATTTCTTTTTTTTTAACCCTGTTTTAAGATTATGGAACTTCAAAATAGATGAACCATAACCCATATTGGAAAATGAAATAGACTGAGCTATAATGGCCTAAAATGGTCCTCTAAAGAAGTTTGAGGCTAAACAGGGATATGAGAAACAGTCCAATGGATATGCTGCTTTTTCTTTGGTAAGTGGATTAATCACATGACTGATATATATTACAATAAGGGGCAAAGAAACACGTACTATCAGCCCCTGTGCTAGTACCAGAATAAAACCATGCAGATCTTGAATCTTCCAGTCTGCACTATTGGAAAGACCAAGCTCACAAATATCTCAAACTTCTGTTGACTATAGCATTTTTAATAATCGAATTCTGCATCAGGGAATCTATTTCATGACTAAAAATCAGAAAAAAGGAAGCAACTTTAAATGAACTTGGAAACAGTCAACAGAGGTTACCCTTTGCATATATTAGAATACATGTTGATCAGTCTGCTGAAGGGACTGCTGACTTAATAGCAGCAGTGCTTTCCCACTGAAGGGAACCTGGTTCCTTGGAGAAACAGGGCAGGGGACTGGGATAGGGAAGTTACAAGTTGAACATGTCTTGTGCTTCAAAATTAAGTGTTCAAGAAAATGATAGGGGAATGCAAACTATGCAGCAATGAAGAAAAAAAAAGGTGAGTCCATACTATTTAGGTAGATTAAATGGCAGACAAAACTTTTCCTTACAACAGAATGCTGAAAAATGCTGGTAGACAGGGAAAATTACTATTTTGCAACCACCATAGTGAAGACTGGTTACAGCAAAAATAAATCATCAAAGGTGCTCCTGATAAAGAGCAGGATATTGGCATGTTTTCTCTCCCAGGTTGCTTTTTAGGTTGCAGAGAGAAAAATCCTAACTATACAATGCAGAAAACTACCACCTTGACCAAAGTTAACATCAACAAAGAGGAAACTGCCGGTGTGCTTCTGGAGATTACAAGGGCCTAAAGTCACTTAAGTTGAGTACTGACCAGACTGTGTAATCCAAACCCAGCTATGTAGATCACTCAAATGCAAAAGGAGAAATTTAGAATACCAGACTTTACTCTTAAAAAATGTCAAGGTCATTAAAGACTGAGGAACTGTCCCAGATTAGACTTCACAACTAAATGCAAATGATCCTGTACTGACTATAGAGGGTATCAAGGATATTAAGAAAATTAACAAAACTGGACTATATTTAGATGGTTGTCAGAAGTATATCAATGCTACATTTCCTGAGTTCAGTAACTATATTGTGGCTATGCAAGAATATATTTGTATTTGGGACATATGCCAGTGCTAAGGGATAAGAAATCCAGGTCTATGATGTATGCCACAAACTCAAATGGCTCAGAATGTAAATGTATGAAGTTAATGGACAAACCTGGCAAAATGTTGAAAGAGTAACTGTGGGTAGAGATTATAGAAAGGCTTTCTGTATTACTGTTACAGCTTTTCTGAACTGATATTAAAATAAAAACTTTAAACCAGTGGCTGCTGAGATGCCTAACCTATTGAATATAATGTAATTCAGTATAGTAAAAACGATTAAGAGCTTGGACTCTAGATCTAAGACAACCTGATTTTAGGGTATGAGCTTGGGCATCTATGTCCACTCGGTGCTTAGGTAAGTAAAGACAAGAGCTTAGAACAGTATCTGGTCATGATAAACATTCAAAGCCTATTTCAAATAGATTTTAATTTTCAATTGGATCAGAAAACATGTGAAAGCATTTTGAAATTAAGAATATATTTTTTCTTTTCCACGAAGCAAGGCGTAAGACCAGGCTGATGATTCTTAAAAGCTGACAAAATGTCCTTAGTTCCTATTACTTACAAATCTAATTGCTGGATTTTTTTTTCCTTCTCAATTTACTATTTAGCCATGAACTGTAAAATAATCCCCAAGGTCATCAGTAACATACCCAGTGACTTGGAAAAAAAGCTACCACTTCAAGCTTTCTGTATTCACCTGAACAGTCAGGGAACTTTCACCTATTTTATTTAGGTTTTCATTTTGTTAAATTCCAACCAGAAGCTAAATACAATTGGAAACCGGTAAGCACTAAGTTTTACTCCAAAGGAGTAGGATCATTAGATTAACTCCAATAAAAGTATGCAACCCTTAAGCAAAGCTTTTCTTCATTTAAAAAACAAAAAAAACTATACAGTAGTCTTTCCTTATGTTCATTGCACAAAATGAGTTCTGCTGTTAGAGCTTTGATGCTCTGTTTTTCACAATTTAAGACGCCAGCTTTAGTAACTTTTTCTACTCCAAAAAAAAAAAAACGTTAAGTGTTTCTTTAAGATGGTATAGAAAGCCAGTATTTCTGCACAATTCACTGGAATTTTTTTCTTTGTAATAAAAAATCTCCTCTTTAAAACCAAAAAAGAAAAAAACCAAAAACCAGAAAGTTCTCAGCCTATCATGGTTTTTGCAGCTATGAGTGTATTTCTCAGTTTTATAGCTGCTTTAGCTACTTCAGACTCCAGATCTGCTTTAATGTGTGTAACTGTATCCTGTATCCACACAGAGCAGAATACTCTTATAACTTGGGAAAGAGATCTGGAAATAAAATACACATGAGTACCAGGAAACAAACATGGCCCAGTAAAACATGAGGCAAGAATGCCTACAATGAGATGCTTTTTTCATTAAAGATTTCTTTCCCATGGTTGTGTATATATATATATTTTTAACCAACCACTTCTGATCATTGAAATGCATCTGACGGTGCTCTGGAACAGTGCTCATACCAGAGCTATAAAGCTTTTGAGAATGTTACTTATATCTGTTACATTCACCTCTCATCCTCTAAATACTGATGACAAAGGTCAAAGAGGCAGAACCAGCATAAATGCAAAGACAATCAAAAATAGGTATCACTTTGTGCTTTCAGATACATTTAAGCATTTCAGTGTACAATAGTCCATTCATTTCACATTTTTAGTAAGATGCTGATGCAGTGCAGCAAATATGCAAAGCATCTTCTTTCACACAGTCTGTGCAGAAGACATCTAATTTTTTTAAAGTTCTGAGATACAAATGAATTTTAAAAAAAAATCCAGGATGAGCAAGTTTCAATATGCATAGTGTTCTGTGCATGAGTCCATTTTCTTTAAACTCTGAAAGAATAAGTGGTAAGAAAATAAGAAAAAAAACTGCTGCACTCTCTGATCTTCTCCATTTTGCTGGTACTCTATTCTGGCATATATGGATGGAGGTGATCCTCTATGGTGCCAACTGCCCAGTGGGTAAGCTGTTCCTGTGGCAGGTAGAGGCAAATGCTGCATAACTTGAAGATTGTAGCTTTGTTTTTTGGAGTCTGAAAGGGGAAAATTTGTAATATTCTTATTAAATAAGACATTAGCATAACTGATCATCACATGAAGTCAATTTATTAAGCACTTATGGACAAAGTAACAAAATATATAGAGTAAGGAAATGAATCATGGCCTCGAACCATGGGGAACTTAGTTTAGTTAGGAAGACAGACCTTTGCCATACAAAATACAGAAAGAGTATACGATTATGAATAAATGTTTACAGAACTTATGCAGAATGAAAAATAAAAGGAAAGGCAAACAAAACCTACTTGCAAACAAAATCAGGGTTGAAGGGATTTCATAGAGACAGATTTGAGAAGAAGTTTTAGAGGTCTTAAGTCATGTTTGTATATAGAAAGGCAACAGATGTGGTGAGAGTAAAGGCGAAGGACATTAACAGGTAAAAAAGACGAAAGCATATCCAGGCATGAAGGACTAGAAGAAAGCCAAAGTATTCTCAGACAAATCAAACTAAGTGTTATTTTTAAAAGGTAGTTACTATTTCGACATCGAACTTATAGCAGACTTGTGCTGGGCACTATCACAAATAACCACTGATGGTAAATTGAAGATGGAATTTGAACCCAGACCTGCCTTTCGAGTTCTCTTCACTATAGCACCTCTAAAAAAGGCCAAGACATATGTAAATCAACCTTAACAAACTTACAAATATAATTTAGTCAATTTAACAAAAAGAACATGCCCACAAAAGTTCTTTGTCCAAGATCTTATAGCAGGTGCATGCATACTAAAATCCAGACTTTGGGCATGTGCCTCTATACAACTTCCCCATCCAGAATTATTTGATCTAGCCGCTATGACAGATACGATAAAGGGCACAAGACCTCTGCTAGATGATTTTATCAAGTTAATTTCTTGACTTCCTTAGCTATAGAATCATAGTAAGATCTAACCTCAGCTATAATATACCATGTATGTGTTGACCACTATCATGAATTCCCTCATGAGTTACTGGAGGGTGATTCCTCTACATAATTAATGCGAATATGACAGGACAGCTCCACCTTGTGAAGATCAAGAACGGAACCTGAGTGGAAGAAGATCCTAAGAGTACTGAAGATCAAATTCAGTTTTAAGGCCAACCACCCCAGTTTACCCAGGACTGAAGCATCTCTAGCACCTAGGACTTACAGTGCTAAAACCAGGATATTTCAGACAAACTTAGATTGCTGGTCACCCTACCTAAAACCCAAAATTTGGCTCATAATCTTATTTTTTTATATTAGAAGGATTCAAGATGTTTGCTTCATAAAGCATAGCAAGTATCAATGTATGTAACAGGTGACAATTAACAAAGTAACTCCTTCAAGTAAGTTTATTCATAGTATTAATGATCTTATATATATTCACATTAAATTACATCATTATATCTATGACAAAGTCCTTGTGAATCCTACTATATTGTATTTTCTCAACAAGTAAGGCACATGGAAATACATTACAAGCAATTATAAAAAAGAAAAATAAGGCAACTAAAAAATACCCACCATAAGAGAGCTAAGGTAAAAAAACTGAAAACCAAAGAAAACTCCCAAAAAACCCACCTAAGTTACATGTTTTTTTTGCTATTTTTATCAAATGCCTCCAGTGAAATCAACTTTCTTCTCTAATTCCCACAATTCTTTTATTGACCTAGGCCATAATTACTTAACCTTCTACAAGAGAAAAAGTACATGTTATGTCAACAATACTTCAATTAAAAATAAAATTAAATGTAGTATCTTCCCATGTGTAAGGCTGAAGGGACTAGGGGGAGGGGCGAGCATGTCACACTGATGACATGCTGCTGCCCCCGCCCAACCTGAAAAATGTGCCTTGGGCTGGCCGATCCTCGAGCTGTAAATCTGAGCCCCCTGCCTCCCCCTACCTTCTCTAGACACTCGCTGCCTGCCCTGCTGAGCGCGACTTCCCTAGACTGTGTCTGTACAGGCTGGTGAACCTCGCCCGGGATCGCATTCAAATGAACTGCCTGGCCCTTTCTTGCCTCTCCGCCTGCTTATTTCGGCTGGAATTTATCCTACACCATGTAGTCTCTATCAGCTCCTTGAAGGTAGCAGTATGATTTGACTTTGTACTTTTTAGTACCTTGCACAGACTCACTTAAACATGTTCTATGTTAGTTCAATTAGTGTCACAAACTTCAAGTCTTTACTTAAAATTACACCTTCAATGAGGCCTTCTCTGATGACACCATCTAAGAATTCACACCCAACAGTGCAGCTCCTCTTTTTCTCTTAGCACTGAACACTATCTGACTGTATTTTTATTCATGTATTACTGGGTCCCCCACAGCAGAATGTGGGTCCATGATGACAAGACTTTTTGTCAATCTTGTTCATTATTTTACAGAGCCTGGCACTTAATAGTCACTCATTTGTTAAATAAATGGTAAATAAATTAAAATGCTATTTTTTAAAGGTTAATAATATAGTATCTATTGTAAATTTTAAGTGATGATGCAGGTAAGGTTGATGAGAATAAACAATATTCTATAGAATAAAGATTTGGAATACCTGGATTGCTAACTCAAATTGGTGGTGCCTATTTAAAACACATGTGCACCTTTTAAATACAGATGTGCCTAATCCCTTTATAATTTTACTTAGAAGGTCTACACCAATGTTTCTCAAAATATGTGTTACCAATTACCCGAGGACTTTGTTCAAAATGCAGATTCTGATTAAGTAGGGCTTGAGATTCTACATATCAAAGTTCTCAGGTGATGTTGACCTGTTGATCATTATCTTATTTTAGGTAGAAAAGCTCCAGGGCAGTGTCTCAGAATTCCACTGTACACTGGGGTCATGGGAATTTTTTGGGAACCCCTGTTCTGGAATGTTTAAAGTAACTTGTTTTTTGAATAACTTCAAAAATAATTCAATGTTGAAGGGGCAAAACAAAATTAAGTGACTTGTATCAAAAAGTTTGTCACCTAATAAGCTTTTTAAACGAGCCTGTAAGTGGTTTCCAAAAAAAAGAGCTTACCTGCAAGTGCTGTCTGTCAATAAAGAGAAACACTGACTGGTTAGGGTTGTTGACAACAATTCCAGTCTTGTCCTTGCGGCTCAGTACATGCAGAAACTGTTTTTCATAGTCACCATGATGAAACTCAAATTTGGCCTAATTAAGAAATAAAAATATTTGTATGTAACTACAAACATGCTACACTATCAGAAACATCTAGTGCATCCATATGCATACAGTTGTGCTGTCCAATATGGTAGCCAATAGTGGCAACTTTCAAACAAATAAAACTTAAAATTCAGTTCTTCAGTAACAGCTACATTTCAAATGCTCAATAGTCATAGGTGGCTAGTGGCCACTATTTTGAATAGTCTCTTGAGATACAGACATTTCCTTCATCACAGAGAGTTCTATCAAATAGCACTCCATTTTATAATTTGACCTTCAAGAAAAACTGCATCAAAGTGATGAAAAATTCCTAACACTCAACAATTTTAAACCAAATTTCATAAAATTAAATTTTCAAACCTACTCAGTTCATGACACCCACCCCCACCTTAGTACCCTATGCATCAGGACAGAAGGATTAAATGAAATGTAAAGCCCATCCTTGAAATATTATAGTTCCAGTCCTTACACAGATGCACTTCTGAAGATATGTGAAACCCTCAAGTTTTTATGAAATATTTTTATGTGCATTTTGTCATATTAAACATTTTTTCAAGTTAGGACTGTTACCAAGTCAGAACATCCTTTTAACATTTTAACACGAGAAAGATCAACTCCATGCTCCCACAAAATAAATGTGGAGAGCCCAAATGCTGGGTGAAAAGACAAAACTAACAGCAAAATCAAGAAACCTAGGAACCTTAAACAATTTAAAATAATTTGGTATTTAGATAACACCAAATTGTAAATATGACTGTTAGTCCATTTAGTTTAATTTTTTTTTTTTTTGAGAGGGCATCTCTCATATTTCTTGATCAAATGGTTGTTAACAACAATAAAATTCAGTATAGGGGGGTCAATGCTCAATGTACAATCATTAATCCATCTCAAGTCTAATTCTCGTCATTCTCCAATCTTCTGAAGCATAACGAACAAGTTCTTACATGGTGAACGAATTCTTACATAGTGAATAAATTCTTACATGGTGAACAGTACAAGGGCATTCATCACAGAAACTTTCGGTTTTGATCATGCAATATGACCTATAAACCATCAGGTCAAATATGAATATTCATTTGATTTTTGTACTTGATTTATATGTTGATCCCACATTTCTCCTATTATTATTATTATTTTTATTTTTAATAAAATGCTGAAGTGGTAGGTAGATGCAAGATAAAGGTAGAAAACATAGTTTAGTGCTGTAAGAAGGCAAATGTAGATGATCAGATGATCAGGTGTGTGCCTATGGACTAAGTATTAATCCAGGCTAGACAAGGGCAGCAAGACATCCACGGATGCAGAAGATTTCTCTCAAAGCAGGGGGGGTGAGGTTCTGAGCCTCACCTCTGTTGATCCCCAATTTCTCACCTGATGGCCCCCCTGCGACTGTGCCTGTCTTAGGTTGTTCCTCCCTTGAGGAATCTTACCCGTCTCTGGCTAACCAGTCATCTTCCGGGGCCATACAGGGAGATGTAAAGTTGGTAAGTGAGAGAGAAGCCATATTGTTTGAAAGGGTTAGCTTTTTACTTCTTTGCGGATTTATGCCCTGTGGCTTCTATGCCCAGCACTTGTCTCGAGCATTTAGTTTAATTTTTATTCTGTCAAAAGATTGAGTAGGAAATACTAACACAGACAAACAAACCATCAGTTCCTGCTATTTAGGATTTTACCACCTGGTAGGTTTTCTTAGAAGCTGTAACATAAAATATGATATGGTGTCCCTACATACTACTGTATGTAAAATATATTGAATTGTACTCCTGCACAATTCAAATACTTACTGAATTTTTAGTATATGGAACAAATGTTACTAGATACTGCAAATATGGTAAGATCATCTCAGCCTCAGGGGCTCACTCACTGCTGAAGAGGACATGAACATGCAATATAAGACTTAACTTACTTTAAATCTTTCATAGAATGAGATGTGGTTATGTGTAAAAACCTAAAAAGGGTTCCTTTATAAAGTGCTATGGGAGCAAAGGAAAAATAATTAACATAATGGGCACTGCAGGCAGTATTAACAGGTGATTTTAGGTTGGACCTTGAAAGACTGACTGTATTTTCCATGGCGAAAGTAATAGTGTTAAGTAATTTGTAAACTGCCTTTCTAGGAAATAGGACCAACACAAATACAAATGTGTCAAAAACAAAATACTGTTCAAGTAAGAAAGCTTCATCTATTCCAACAAAGCAAATACTGGGGTGGATGGAAGACGCCAGGAGAGTATCATACTGAAAAGAGATTTTTAATAAGACTAAAAAAAGTTCTTTCATATATTTCTATGGCATTTGATTCTATCCTACTAAATATCCAGATTTGGGAAGGAATGGTCCACACCAAAAGAAAACTCTAAACAATTCCAAGAAAAGTAATGAAATACTTCAATAGTATGATGAAGAGCTAACTTACTTTGTAGTACTCTGAATATAGCAGTAACTCAAGTTTTAAAAATAATCTTTACCTTGGTGCCTATTAAATCTCACTACTTAAGTAAATTTTCAACTGTTTCAAGAGTCAAAAAAAGTTTTCAAATTAAAGTTTACCTTTCTTTATCTTGTTCACCTGGAGAAAGAATTAAGTTATTTGTATTTAGGCTTCTCATTCAGGATATTCACTTTTTTTCTTTTTAACTGAAGTACAGTTGCAGTATTATATTAATTTTGGGTGTACAACACAGTGGTTTGACATTTACATATTTACATACATTACAAAATGCTCACCAGTAAGTGTAGTTCCTATCTGTCACCATACAAAGATATTATACTATTACTGACTATATTCCTTCACACCAGAGGATCATTAAGGTGGGCTATCCAGACAGAATTCAGAAGGAAGAAGGTCATTTTTATTACCTTCTAACTGGAATTTATAATGTTTCTAGGATATTTATACTTTTAATTCAGGGAAGTAAACTCATTTTTACAGTTTACTTATTTAACACAGTTGAATTTTAAAATTCTAAAGTATTACCTATATATATCCTATTATTTATATTCAATCCATAATTTAAGGTTCTATAATACAAGGAACTCCCCACAGTACAGGGTAGTGATTCAAGAACGTTAAGCTTTACAATCCAGACTTATGTCTTGAATGCCAGTTAACTACATGACCTTGGCCTGGTTGTTTACCTAATCTCTAAACTGCCTCAGTTTCTTTCTTTGCAAAAAGAGGTTCTTATCTTCCTAGTTCTTGTAAAGACTGAGGTTAAATATATATCAAGGACTTAGGAGACCATATACAGCCAAGATTCAAATAGTAGTAATTGAGACAAGCATATTTTAACAACTAATCTAAGAAAGGTTTAAAGTTAAGACAGGGTACTAGAAATTTAAAAACATACATACTGTGATTAGGTGGACCTAAATTTTTCCAAGGGGAAATTCTGAATTAAAAAGAAAAAAACAAAAAAAGACTAACAGTGCTTCCAGAGAGCAGTTATAGTTGAGGTATAAGACCTGCTGATACTATAAACGTGCCTTCCATTCCTGTCTTCCTGCCTTTTATATTCAGCTTTATTCTCCAGCACAGTCGTGTTAGTCAGGTATTATCCATTAAAAGAGAACATGAATATATGATACTTTTACTTATATTTAGCCTTATGTGTTATCCTTAGAACTTATGACTGTCAAATCCATCTTAGTAAATGGAGTACTTCATTTGAGCTGATGTGTAGCAACCTTACCATGGCAACAGGGGGAGTATACCAATTTGTCTATCACACACAACCACCATAAAGATACTTCATAGTAACGGACATATGCAAAACTTTTTTAAATGGGTTTTATATTTCTAAGCACTCAGCTTAAAATAAACTTCTAATGTTTAGTTTAGTATGCTTAAAATGAGTCCTTGAAGGTCATCATCTTGTTTTTCTGATTGCAAATAAAGTATGCTCATTTGATATATATGTATATACATGTATTTATAAAAGAAAAGTTAGCTATACCTGACCTACCACTAACCATAATCAATATTTTGGTGGATTTCATTATACTTTCTTCTATGCCTATAAATCTACTATAAATAAAAATAGAATCAACACATGGGTAAATGCCCTTACACTAGAAATTGCCTAGTACATCAAATGACAAGTCAAAAGTTTCCAAGATGCCAAGGAAGGTTAATTAAGAACCACTACTAAATTTACTTCTGTTCTGTATCATTTTATATACAAATCCATTTCTAGAAAATGGCTTCTGAACTCATTTCTTATATCAGACTCCTTTAATACCACAGGGGAAGAGATCTGAAGTTTATCCATGGACCCCTCTGTAACAACAAAAGTCTACCTTAAAGTATTTTCTCTGGCCATAATTTCAAAGACACATTGAGTGGTTGAACCACTTCATTCTCAAGTCTATAATCCAAATGCATTCTCCTTTGTATTACAATATTCAAAAGAACAGGAGGGATTAATGAAATAACACTTTTAAAGAAAGTATATTCTCAAGAATTTCTTAAGTTAGGCTCTATTTCAGGAGTTTTCACTTATCTGGGTGCTCACCATACTTATAATAAATACCTGAACAGGCCTAAAAGGCTCATCAGAGTCCTTCCACCTAGAAAACAGGAGACAGACAATTTTTTCGATATCATTCCGAGGCCAAAGAATGAAATCCATCTCCTGAGTACAGCCAATTACATCCTATAAAATGACACACACAAAAAATCATTACTTTCAAAAAAGCAAAGCTGTAGCAAGCAATGTCACAAATTATAGGGTTTGGCTATGGAAACATTTCCTAAGGGGAAAAGGTCCACAATATAACATTCTGTATTTTAAGAAGGTACAGGACTGTATACAATTTAAATAGCTCATGACCTAATTCTCATTTTTATCTTCTGGAATTCACAGTCACTCAGTCCAGCGTTCCTCATAGCAAGACCTAACTTCATCAGTGCATGGTGCAAACTCCAACTAAAACTCTGACCCTTGCACCTTTATTTCCTCTCTTCAATACCGGAAACTTTTTAAGCAAAGGTGTCTTGGAGCTTGTAACAGTAATCACTACCTTCTTATTACAGATAAAATGCTATCTTTGCTATATGTTAGTTGAAAACTATTATTCTCCATTCTTATTCCTCTTATCATAGTCCATATAGCAATTTTCAAAGGCCAGTAAGCCTCTTGTAAACCAGTACATGGTTATCTTCAGCCTCTTCCCCCACCCCCCAACTAATTGTAGGGATCTCTTGATTCAAGTATGTCCCATTTTAACTTCCAATGAATTGCAGAACTTTAAAGGCTGGCAACAATAATTTATTCTGCTTTAAGTTTCTTATTTGTAAGGGGCATGATGTTAGCTCTCCCCACAAATAGGGAAATCCAAAATTTTTAAAGAGTCAACTTTTAAAGAGTACCTACTCATTCTTTTTGTTGTTGTTAGAACAATGCAGCAAAATAAAATTCTAGTTTATTGTTGGACATTGTTTCACACATACATCAGACAAGCCAAAAAAAATAAATAGCAACTTTATAGACAAAAAAGGAAAAAAAGAAAACGTTTTATCTTTGGCCTTTTTAACCATCTCATACAAGCCAACTACTTATAGTACATACACAAAAAATGTTACTGGAATGCTCGGAATAAGATTTTTTGTTGTTTTTGCCTTTTTTACAAGGTTTTTTTTTCTCCTCTGAGATTATAATGAACATGGTCACACCACAAGTAAAGTCAGAAATAAGACAGAGAATGCTCCGGACGCTGGTTTGGTCATCAGAGATCATTAAAAATGGCTGACCCCTAACAATATGTACAAAAATAAAAAATGTAAATAAAAAATACAAATATTCCTTTTTAAAGTACTTTTAAAGAAAAAAAGCAGGGCCTTGGAAGTTTTGGTTTTTTCCTCCCCCGTTGCAAATTCACGTTGTGGTTTCGGGTGAGTGGTGGAGAGCGTGTCACTTGCGGGTGGCGCTGCCCACGGTGGGTGGGCGGGCTGGACTCTCTACTGGAAGGTGACCACGTTTAGATTCTGAGAAGTGGAGGGTGAATAGCTCAAGGGGGCCTTTTTTTTTTTCCTTAAAGTTGAACTTTTCCTTTTTTGCTGTCTAGTCACCCTCATCAGTCTTCTGCTTCTTGGTGCCAACACCCTCGCCCTCCTCGTGTTCGGTGGTGCATATGCCTTGCCTGTTGCTGCCTCAGCCTCATCTTCATCTTCATCTCCATTCTCTTCCTCACCACCACCTTCTTCTTCATCTACCTCACTGTCAGCCTCCTGCTCCCCATTTTCCTCATTCTCGGCCTTCCCATTAGCAGGTGCATCTCTTCCATTCTGTCTTCTCCACAACCTCCTTCTTCTAAGTCCTTGGTGGTGATCTCGGGGCTGGTGTCCACCACCGCGTCTAACATGATGGGCGCGCTGGCGGTCCGACGCAGCAGATTCAAAAGAGAGCAAGAGTTCAATGACCGGCGGGTGGTAAGGCTGCTGGGGTCCGCGGCGGCGGTGGAGGCGGGCAGCAGAGGCAGCTGCGGAAGCGGGGGGCTGGACACAGGAACGATGCAAGGACGGCTTTTCAGAGCAGCCAGAGCACCTACTCATTCTCAGAGATGCAAAAATGCAGGCTTAACCCACAAAAACTTACTGTACGTCAAGACTTAACGGGACTTACCCTTCTCATGGACTGGTATCGAGGAGCGTGGAGCTGTACCGCATCCTTCTGCAAAAGCTCTAGGGAACTTTCCAAGGAATAGCTGGAATCTCGCACACCCTTCAGGATATTTTCTTCATAATTATTTGTCATGACTGGTATAACCTCAGACACTTCAAAAAGTGCTGATTTTTTCCTCTGAAAGAAAAAAAACTGATCAACCCAATAGTAGAATGCTTTCAATATCCAGTTCATATTACAATGCCACACTTTTATACTAATTCAGCAAAATTTTTAAGTAATTTTTGTACCAAAAACACAGGTTTCTCAACTAAGTGGATCCTTCGGTTCTTCCCTCAAACCCTCCAGACTATTATCAGAATGTTTAACTATGGTTTTATGGCATTATGGTACCTACTGCAAGTACTTATTTTAGACAATGATATTTCTTCAGTACTGTGAGACTCAAACATCAGACACTGCCAAGGTTAAAAAAACAACAACAGTGATTTACTCTTGGTATGATTTCATTTAACTGATTCTCAGCAGTTTAAAAACAAAGCTATTCAGACAAATTAATGGTTTTAACTTCTAAAAGGGTTATTTTCATTACTCCTGGTTCTTATGTATTTACAAATGTGAATATCTGAAAGGAGAAAAAAAAGGCTACCGAAATGAGTTTCAAATTTAGTTAAGTGCTCATCATCAATTTAGGTTATAAAATTCACAAACCAGGACAATTACCTGGACACTGCCCATTCATAGAATAATAGGTTTTTATTAGCCTTAAAGAAGTAGATGGTACAATTTGGGGTATCTTACAGATACAAAGATCTAGTTTCATCATGTATCTTGGATTTCTAATGAACCTGTAACTTCACCTAAAAATTGACCTTATCAATTCTGCAGCTAACCTATTAACAAAAAGACAAAAAGGAGAAATCTTTGGTACTACCCAAAACTTGGGACAGTAACTTCAGAATAAACCATTTTTGAAACCACTTTACAATTCTATAGTCTAGCAACTAACAGCATTCTTAAATACTAGTAACCTTTCAGTGTGGTAAAAACTTATGTAACATCCAAATATTAAACAGATTTCTCTCAAAGATTATACTGCTGACCTGAAATTTGCTCACAAAATGCAAAAATTAGAAGTATTTCCTTATTATTCATAACCCAATTTCATGTCATATAGAGATCATCTAAGAAACTGTTAACTATTTTAAGTTGTAAAAAAATACTGCTTTTACGACATTCTTGACTACTCATAACTCATATGGTGCTATTTAACTACGGAATTAATTCTGATTAAGACAAAAACTTCAAACTTCCTCTTTTGGTCATTTTAAATTTTAATAAATTGCACTTCTAAACACAAATTAACCATTACAGTACTTATTTGCTCCTAAAACTGAAATATATTGTATTCCATTAAATGCACTATGAAACAGGCTGCTTTTGGCATATAAACATTTTGATTCTAATTCACCTCTTTCGAACACACTATATTTCAGAAAATCTTTAAAATTCAATTATGAAATTCCTGTGTAACTCCACACATAAGTGAAAATTGTAAAACATAAATTTTCATGTTACCCACCCTGTGTTAGCTAAACGTAGACCCTACTAAGCTTTGGAATTTCTAAACCAATGAGTACTCAAGTCTTTCATTCAGTTATAACTGCAACTATTAATTTCACTCTGAGAATTACTCATAAGGGTAAAAGTTAAGAGCATGCAAGGTAGACTTTTCTCAACCACTCTTTAAACTAATACTCAGTTAAAGGTAACAACTTAATATATACACTTACAAAATTCACTTCTGCTAATTCACATTAAAAACTTTAAATTACCTTCTCCTTGAATACAAAGGCAATATACATCTTGAAGTCAAACTGGTCAGCTAGAGATTCTTTTTTCTTTCTAAGCTGAGCACGTAGTCTGTTCAGAGCTTGTTTCTTCCGGGAGTTTGGGTCCCCCATTTTGAAATAACAGGTGGTACTAAAGCCTTTGGAAATTGTCACTAAACTATGGGCACTTTTTCTTAAGACTCAAGTACAACAGAAACAAGTCATTTTTTTTCCTGCTAATATGATTGAATAGCTAAAATGACGACTGTAACCCAAAAACTGCACCTCTGGCAATATTAGCAGACTGTCATGTTACAGGGTCAAGAAACAAAAGTTGCTGCCCAGTCATGTTTGGACAATAACGTTTGTGGTCAGACGGGAAGAAGGAAGGGGAGGAAGGAAAGGAAGCGCAGAAAGTACTTTTAACTTTTTGGAAAACACATTTGGCTTAACCGCCAAAATAAAGGCTTTAGTGGGGAATGAAAAGCCTATTATCAGGATTTTAGGGGTGCAATAAAACAAAACTGACACCAGTCCGGTCCTTAAAATCCATTCGGATTTTTCCCCCTTTAGGGAAGGGATTATGAAAAGGAATGGGGAGAGGGAAGTGTGATTCTTGCTTTCCAAATACCAAAATCAGAAAGAAAGAAAAAAATAACCCCACCAAACCACCCCGCAAAACACCGAAAACAGGGCAGGTGAAACTGAAATATCCAATCGGATTTTACCCAGCCAGATCCATGGCTGTAGTACCTAATTAGCTCTTAGTTATTTCGGATTTCACTATTGCTACGTATCGTCGGTGCTTGTTATTGATCACTCCTGGTGGCGAGCAAAGAGAAGAGTACGAAGCCGGCAGAGGAGGAAGGGGAGAGGTACAGGGCTTCCCTGCGATCGACTACAGTGGATACCGGGGGCGGACAGCTGCTGCCCAAAGGAGCCACGAGAAAGAACAGCGGAGTCATCACCAGCTTCCCCAACACCCACATCTTCACCCTCAGGCGGCTGCCAATGCTGCTGCCAAGGAGAATCATGATGGCAGAGGGAAAGGGGGACATAACACGATGTAGTAGTACTCCGGCTCTGTGGTCAGACCCGATTAATGCCCTGGATCCCAACACCCCTGGCCCTGCAGTGAGTCCTACGTTCCCCGAGGGAGTCTTCTTCCCTAGGAATCTGCCCCCGTTCAAGATCGTGGGGAGAGCGACTTATGTTCTTGCAAGCATTGCTGAGGCAAAGGTGGCGGGTTCTTCTCCCAAATCCCAGGCAGTGCCCGGGGACCACCTGCCTTCCACCCCCAGGCCCCACCCCCACCCTCTGCCTTCAGCGGCAGCGACTCACTCGCACCACGGGAGACACAGGATCACTCAGGTTTTCACTCATTTCATCGTGGAAACAATTCCCGCCCGGGTAGAGTAGGCGGGAGTGGGTAAGGATCAGTGGGAAAAGAGAAAATAGTAGTGTTAATATTAAGTACTTCCTGAAGTATGCCCACCCCACCCCCCAAAAAAAATTAAGTTCCCGGGTTCCCGATGAGCTACCTGTCACGTCGAACAGACCATGTTTGCCGAGTTTGGACTGTTTAGGGCGGGGTCGTTAGTTCGCTCCCCGAGGGGGTCAGGGGGCGGAAGTGAGGCGGCTGGGGCAGGGGTGGGTGCCGGGGAAACCCCTCCCTGACTGATCCCGCGGAGGCCGGGACTCACTGACCGACTCTCGGGCGGGGTGCAGCCCTCTAGCCGCAGCCGGCGGGCGGAGCGGTGGCGGCGGCGGAAGAGGCGGCGGCGGCGCTGCTCGCAGCACGGGCAGGGGCCATGTCAAGAGAAAACCACCAGCCAACCGCGCCCCTCCATCCCCGCTGCAGTGCGCACTGGGGCCGTGCCGTCCGCGCTGCTGCCGCCGCTCAGCCCCCACCTGGGACCCATAGTCTGGCTCAGTGCCCCGGGCGGCGGCGGCGTAGGGGAAGGACGCGGAGGCAGCGGCGAGAGCGAGAGAAAGAGAGAAAGAGAAAAACGGAGGCGAACGAGGGGGGCAGAAGTGGCACTGGCGGCGGAAGGGGAGGGGAGGAAAGGGAGGGGAGCCCTGCGCTAAGGGGCCGGTCGGCGAGGCAAACCCCCAAAGTAAAGTTATTTCAGTTCAAGCATCTGCTCTTGAATCTTTCTTCCCGCCACGATCGGGTTCCGGTTCTCAGGAAAAAAGGTCGAGGGGACCCGGGGCGGGGAAAGCCGAAGCGGATGGTGAGCGTCCCCGGTGGCACAGCCTCGTTCCCCCAAACCGGTGGCTGCGGAAGCGACGGCGGCCTCGGAGGCCTCTCGGGTCCGGGGCACAGCCGCGTTTGGGAAGACGAGCGAGAACAAACAACTTAAAATGGCAGCGACGACCGCTGCGTCACCCGCCCTTCACCGGCACCGCCCCGAACGGTCTGCGGCTGCGCACCTCGCCGGCCTCCACCATCTGCGCAGGAACAGAGGGGGAGAAGGAACTGGAGGCGGAGAAGTTTTCATGGTTATTAAGAAGACAGGGAAGGAGAGCAGGAAGAGAACTTATGAAACACTTTTAAAAGAGTGAGCCTTTGAAATGAAACTTCTTAATTAGTACTCCTGCCTTAAAGGAGAGTTTGAGAATAGACACTACCCTGCTCTGCAGGATGGAGTTTCCATGGGGCCTGAAAAGAGACAAACCAAACTTCCTCCGCCCCCCTCCGTCAGGTTGTCCCGGTCTCTTGAGTTGGCTTTTTCTCCCCGTCCTGTCGGCCGTCATAAAACCACGCCCTTTATGCGCTCCTTGACAAAGCACCCGGATGGAGTCGCTCTACCCCGCTCTAGTAGGCCTGAATTTCAGGCTGGGCGGGATAGACTGGGTGGGTGAGGGGAGAGTCAGGCGAGAATTGGCCGGGGGCTCGAGTGAGGGAGGAAAAGGGAAGTGTGTGTTTGAAGATGGGGCAGGATATCGTCCTTAATGATTTTATTTGTAACCCACTGATTGGTAGACTTTCTGGGAGTCAGCTCCACTGTATCTTACAGCGACAAGCTGAAATTTCATTTCCAATATATGAAACTTTAAGAGCGTGCCTCCGAGAGTATCTTACGTAGGTCCCACGTGACTCTTGTCTTCCAGTCGCCACGTGCGTAGGCAAGGAAGGCGGTCCTCAGGCTCTGAAGGTCAAAGACGTAGGTCCGGCGTGGCTGCTATGACTTAAGAAAACAGACGAAACTGCGCCGTGGGTTTTTTCCCCCTACTTTAAGAATACAAATTCTATTGGGATTCCCCACTACCTCAGACCGAGGTCCTGTCCCTCTGTGGTTCTCTGTCCACTCAATAAGGGGGGTGCTGTGAGACTTTGCCTCGAAATCCCAAGTCCTTGTCTCCCAAAAACCTTGAATCACGTTTTTTGAGAGGTCCAATGTGCAGGTAAAAACGCAGTTACCTAAGTGATCTGCAAAACTCAATACTCTCCAAAGGCAAAGTCTATACTCCTTTATGAATACTCTCTGCAATGAAATTTTAGACCTCTGTTGGGTCCCCAAATTAGGGCCCTTCCCTTGGTAAAATCAAAATGGATTACCTCTAATAAATTTTAACCAGTGAGCTAAAAGAATAATGGGGACCCACTGTTTGATATAAATTGTTTTCCAGAACTAAATGATAAAATCCCTGAGGTTTCCAAATTATTGCTAAATTTAAAAGATAAAGCTAGCATTTTGCTAGTATGTCCCTCTTTGATTTTCACTATCACATAATAATAATTGTGTGGAAAACTAATAAGGTTACCCTTATAGTTCTAGAAGCACTAGTTCATGGCTTCTGGATCTGGCCCTGATTTGTAGCCATGATCATCTCCATGGAAGAGCTTTTTAAATATAGCTTTATTAGAAATGTAATTCACATACCACAAAGTTTATCACTTAAAGCATACAACTCAGTGGCTTTTAATATATTCACAGAGTTGTGCAACAATCACCACAATTTTAGAAGTTTTTCATCACCCAAACAAGAAACCTTGTACCACTGATAGTCACTCTCCTTCCTCTTCCTCAGCTGTAGGTAACCACTAATATCTGTTCTGTCTCTATACCAATTTGCTTTTTCTGGACATTTCATGGAAATAGAATCATGTAATATGTGCTCTTTTGTGTCTAAATACTTTAATTAGCACAACGTTTTCAAGGTTCATCCATGTTGTTGCCAAGTAATATTCCATTGTATGGATGTCCCATATGTATTTTTTGAGGCAAAACTGTTATATTACATTATGTAAGTTTCAAATGTACAGCATTGTAATTGATATTTGTATACCTTACAAGTGATCTCCGCCATAACTTTAGTTATCATTCATCATCACACAATTGAGTCCCTTCACCAATTGCCCACCCCTCTGGTAACCACCAATCTTCTGTGTACCTAAAGTTTTTGTTTTGTGCTGTTTGCTCATTTGTTTTGTTTTTTAGATTCCACATATAAGTACAGTACAGAATTTGTCGTCTGACTTATTTTGCTTAGCATAATACCCTCAGATTCCATCCATGTTGTCTCAAATGGCAAGATTTCCTCCTTTTTATGGCTGAGTAGTATCCCATTGTACAAATATATATGTGTGTGTGTGTGTTTTCCATATCTTGACTATTGTAAATAATGCTGCAATGAACATAGGGGTGCATATATCTTTTAGAATTAGTGTTTTTGTATTCTTCATATAAGTAATATTCTGTTTATCCATTCATCAGTTGATGGACATTTAGGTTATTCCTGCTTTTTGGCTATTTAGAATAATGCTACCTGACCATCTGTATAAAAGTTTATGAGTAGACATGTTTTCAGTTCTCTTGAGTGAGAATTGAATTGAACCTAGGAGTGAATACTGGGGCAAATGTTAACTCTATCTTTAACCATTTGAAAAACTTCCAGATGTTTTCCAAAGTGGTGGCATTGTTTTACATTACCTCCAATTCCTCTACATCCTTATTATTTTTTTCATATAGCTATTGTAGTAGGTGTATCTCACGGGTAGTTTTGATTTGCCTTTCCTTTATGATTAATGGTGTTGAGCATCTTTTCATGTGCTTTTGGTCATTCTATCTTCTTTAGAGAAATTTCTAATTAGAGATTTTTGCCATTTTTTTAGTTGGGCTATTGGTCTCTTAAGTATTGAGGTGTAGGAGTTCTTTGTTCTAGATATAAGCCCCTTATCAGATATATGATTGGCAAATATTTTCTCTCATTCTGTGGGTTGTCTTCACTTTCTTGGTGCTGTTCTTTGCAGCCCAAAAGTTTTAAATTTTCAAGATGTCCAGTGTATCAGTTTTCTTCTTTTATTGTTTGTGATGCTGGTGTCATCTAAGAAACCATTGAAAAGTTTTTACACTGCTATAATCCTAAAAAAACAGAATGGAACAGCTGTTGAGGTAAAAAAAAAAAGTGAAGCATAGAGTTTCAGTTATTATGAAACAGAATTGGAGATATCTGGTCACAACTGAACAAATCCTATAACAACATGTGCTGTGGGCCTCTGCCAGGTCTTGTGAGATGAGCCAAGAAACAGCAGCAGTGTGTCCTGCAGGATGAAAACACTTCTTGCTCAATTTTCTCTGCAGCTTGGAAGAGCTGTAAAATGGGAAGAATAATCAAAAATAATTTTTTTAAGTCATCACCATAACATTCTGATAAAATTCAGTTAAAAGTCAGATATAACTCACTTAAGATTTAGCTCTGTCAACTATGGGGAAAAGATTCAATTATATTATCAATTTATTTGTGTTGAGCTGCTGCAAACACAATGGGATTTGTGGAGTGAAAATGGTGGCACCTTGACTAAAAATACCTGCTTATTTTTCCCTGAGAAGTTTAACTTACACCATTAGATACCCTGTGTGATATTTTCTTAGTTGAAAAGCAGATTCCAGTAGAGAAGGTTACGTTTTTAACAAAATAACACCTTATAAAAATTCTGTGCTAACCTCCTGCCTGAAGAAACAGAATCCAGTGGGCTCCAAGGTTAACTTCTTGACCTCCAGAGAAACCAATTCTTCTGCATTCATTACAAGTTAAGAAATGATAACTCAAGCATATGCTTAACATAGCCTAAATATATGACAGTAAAACCGACGAAGTATTTAATAATTGGTCTTCAGTATTCTAAAAGAACCAGCCAGAGACTTAACCTTTGAAATGTACATTGTTTGCACACACATTCTCTCCTCTTATAAAAATCTGGTTTTCTCAACATCTTCCCCTCATATTCATGGCCAAAGAGCATACTAGGTTTTCCAGGAATTCTCAAATATTTTGTCCTTTCATTAGTGCTATTAAGTTTATAAGACATGTCTTAATTTTTGGTCATATTAATGATTGGCAGTTTGATCAGCATGATAATTATTTATACAAAACAAGTTTATGCTTAAACTATCCTGGTCTAGAGAACTAGTTCTGCAACTCTACAATTTGATCCTAATAGGGACCTGGTCTCCAGATTTCAACCTTAAAGGTTTACCATCTAAGATGACTATATAATAGGGGCTAATAAAATTTCGCAGTTTAATAAGGAATTATACACAGCATCTACTCTAGCACACACTCTTGTCTATAGCAGTCATACAGTTACTAAACAAAAATGGTACAAAAAGGAGAAACTGTATTTGTTTTAAGGCTTTGCTTGCCCTTTTTGGTAAACATAAGAAGATAGTTTGTTATTTTCTTCTCTAGTTTTACTCTACATTCATGTAAGCCTAACTTGGAGGTCAGTACTTGCAGACTGATAGTTGAATGTTTACTGAAGGCAAGCAAGTGATAGGCTTGAAAAATAGGATTTGGCCATTAAACAGCATTGTCCTGAAGTTTGTCTAAGGAATATGCAGGAAAGTACTTATACTGAACCATGGATTTTCTTTATTTTTTAACCTCTTCTTCTTTCCCCACTTCCTTTCTTTGTGAAACCTTCATAAGAGTGTATATCAGTGAAACCTTAATAAAAAAAAAAGTTGACGTCATAAGAACCAATTTGGGTAACAAAAAAAAGAAATTTTCAAACCTCTAATTAATATTCCTGGAATTATTCTAGAGGATATTAAGTACATAAAATAAAAACAGGATGCTATATAAAGTAACAATTAGAGACCAAGAAAGAGCACTCGAAAAATAAAAATATGCTTACCAAACAAGTTTTTTTTTTTCTGGAAAGGTGGAAATATGACACTGGAAAAAGGAGACACTGGAAAAAGGAGAAAGACAAAAAACTTAAGTGTCCAATCCAAGTCCAAGATTTGACCAATAGGAATTCCAAAAAGAAAGCCTGAGAAAATGCAAAGGTAGAAGTCATTACAGAAATCATTGGAGAAAATATGCCAAAGCTAGGATAACCATAACTCTTTAGAGAGAAAAGTACTACTACTAGAAG